GGCTTTATTGAGATGCTGCAGGCCAGAGGATGTAAATATTTGCTGGTGTTTGTCTGCACCTTCTCAGGATGGGTGGAAGTCTTCCCCACTCAGACTGGGAAAGCCCAGGAAGTGGCCAAGTGCCTGTTAAAGGAACTCATCCCTCGGTTTGGAAAACCTGTGTCTATTGGATCGGACAGTGGGCTGGCTTTTGTGGCTGAGGTGGTACAGTTGGTGGCTAAGGGCTTAGGAATAACTTGGAAGCTACACACGGCTTACTGCCCCCAGAGTTCATGAAAAAAACTCTAAAATTGCAATTGGGAAAACTATGCCAGGAAACTCATTTATCATGGGATCAGTTATTGCCCACAGCCTTGCTCAGGATTAGGTCAAGCCCCACCAGGCAGATGGGTGCCCCCCCTTTTGAAATTCTCTTTGGGTGCTCACCCCCTTTAGTCAAGGGCCTGCAAGGGGACCTTAAGGAAATAGGTGACCTCACCCTGAGACAGCGGATGCAGACCCTTGGGTTAACTCTCTCAAAAATCAATGCTTGGGAGCTGGGCACCAGTGGCTCACACCTGTAATCATAGTTACTCAGGAGGCACTGATCAGGAGGATTGCGGTTCAAAGCCAGCCCAGGCAAATAGTTCCATGAGACCCTGTCTCCAAAAACCCTTCACAAAAACAGGGCTGGTGGAGTGGCTCAAGGTGAAGGCCCTAAGTTCAAGTCCCAGTACTGCCAAAAAGAAAAAAAATCAATGACTAGGTAAGAGAGAGAGACTCCTTGTTAGCCTGACAACTCCCACACATCCTTATAAGCCAGGGGATGCTGTCTGGGTAATCAAATGTTCAACCAGTAAAGCCCCCCTGGAGGGGCCCTTTTGTTGTTGTTTTATCCCCCCCCCACAGTTAAGGTAGCAGAGATCATTCCCTGGATCTAGCACAGCCAAGTGAAGCCAGCTTCCCTCAAGTGGGAGTGCATCCCTGACCCAACCTCACTGTGCAAGATCACCCTCTGGAATGCCCATGCTCTTCCCCAGCAGGACCCTGATTCCCAGGAGAAAACAGGAGACCACAGACAATGAGGCTCTGCTCTAGTCACTCCAGAAGCTGACTAGTCTACACACAGGGGAAGCTTGAGGAGTCATCCATCTTACTTTGAGGCTGAGTCCCTTCTGTGCTTTCTTCTTGCTACTCTTGGTCAGCTCTCTACCTGGGGACTTCCAGGACTTGGACTGTGACTCATGTATGCACACTACCAGAGTGGGAAGTGTTGTTACTAAAATTCTCGTTTTCCATACTTACTATTCTTGTGCACGCACAGTTGTTGGGTCACGCACCCACAAGCATACCACCTACTCAGTATGCCCTCATGGTGGTCAACATATTTGTTTTAACCCCATCTGTCGCTCTTGTGAGCAATGGCTTAAGTCTGAAGCTTCACCAGCACTGGGGAGTTTATTAGCCAGACACAGGTTTACAACCCCAAAAGGCCAGGATCTATATACTTTGATGTGTGTGCCATAATAGCTAAAAACTCCATCTATCAACCTCAGGGTATTGAAAACACCTGTGGAGGCCTGGCCAGGGAGAAAACATACATGTCAAATGAAAAGCATATTTGCCAGGAAGACAACTCTTGGCCATGTAATGATGCAAGCTAAAACTACTGCCCATTCTGAGTTGTGTTTCATGGGCTACCTGGCAAAAGGCAGAACCCTCTGCCCTCCTTCAAAAAGGAGTAGCAACCTCTAATCCCTTGGCAACTGTAACCCCATAAATTTTACTATACTTAAACCCTCAATTTGGGAACAGGACATAAGACTGGTATAACGATAAATGAAAAGGGGCTTGATCCCGGGACTCTACTGCACCTCAAATTACTATTACCCATGAGAGCTCCTCATACCAGGTCTTTCACTCCTTCTACAAGGAGATGCAAAGTGAGTTTCCCATCTCAGTTAAAACCAAAAACCTGTTCCTCTCACTAGCTGAGTCCATAACCCAAACTCTAAATGTATCTTTGTGTTATGTTTGTGGAGGAATGAATATGGGAGACCATTGGCCATGGGAAAGAAGAGAACTAAACCCACAGGAGCTCTTTAAGGAAACCACTCTCCCTAGCCACGTGGGGTACATCTGGGTCCTAAAAACCTCTATTATTGGGAATTACTGTATCTCCTGTCCAAAGGCCAATTCTCCACCTGGGTAGGGGACTTGATCTGCTTGGGACAAAGCTTTTACAATGAATCTGCTCAGGAGACTCAGTGGTGGTGGGGGGGGTCCCAATCACTCGGAGCCCTAGCCTCACTCACTAACGTCCCCAAGCTTGCAACAGCCTGGAATAATCTGACCTGGGGCATAGAATGGCGGGCACCTTAGGGATTACATTGGATCTGTGGGGAATGAGTTTACACAATCCTTCCCAATGACTGGTTCGGATCCTGTCTGCCGAGCACAATCTGACCTTCTTCTTCTTGCTCCTCATCAGACAAGGTGAAAAATTAGGAGTCTCCATATATGAGGAAAGGGTAAACAGGAAAAAGCCAGATGCCCTACAAACGGGACTGGATGGATGATGAATGGCTTCCAGAGTGGATCATTCGATATTATGGTCCCGCTACATAGGCAGAGGATGGCTCCTGGGGCTATCACACACCAATCTACATGCTCAACCGCATCATTTGGCTTCAGGCAGTGGTTGAGATTGTAACTAATGAAACAGCAAATGCCTTTAACATGTTAGCCAAACAACCAACTAAACTATGCAATGCCATCTACCAAACTGTTTGGCTTTGGACTATTGGCTAGCCTCAGAGGGCAGGGTATGTGAAAAGTTCAATCTGAGTAACTGCTGTTTACAGATTGATGATGCGGGAAAGGTAACTGAAGAGATTACCAACAAGATGAAGAAGCTTTCCCATGTCCCTGTGCAGACCCAGAAGGGAGGGAGTCCCAATGACCTGTTGGGGGGCTGGTTCTCAACCTTAGGTAGGTTCAAGACCTTAATAGCGGCAACATTCCTTGTCTTAGGAGCATGCCTGATATTACCCTGCTTAATCCCGCTGGAACTAAAGTCCTTCAGGACCATTATGGAAACCACTATAGAAAAAAAGACAGCTGCTCATGTAATAATGCTGTGAAAATATAAACCTAGATCAAAATGATGCTCTCTGACCAGAAGTTGGTCTGGGCATCAAACTGGGGAATGTGGCAGGAAGGCAGGGAGGGGGAAGAGAGATGAGAGATAATGAGTGCAACAGTAAAACAAATAAAAACGGATTTGAGGAATGTCACATAGCACTTGGGGTGAGAACAGAGAAGGGTCACCTTGCCCCAGAGGTTAAATGGCCAATTAAATAGTACCTAACCATGTATGGGATAAGCTGTACCCAACCCCCACCCCCATTTCTGTAACCTGCTCTAAATGGTATATAAGGAAAGCCCCTTTTGTTCTCAGGGCTCAGCCTTGGGATGTGAATCCGCTGAGTCATTGTTGGCCTGCTTAATAAACTTGCTTCTGGAAAGCTCTGGTGCCCCATCTCTGTCTGAGCCTTCTGCAACAATATGGTGTAAGTGATAAAGGGAACAGGAGACCAGAAGAGATGGAGTGAATGCCTTTAACCTTGCCATATTGTTCACTAGGGCCCAGAGCAGTATAGCCTTGACTTCTACGCCCCAAGGAGAAGCAGGAATATTAAGGCAAATGTTATGCTTCAGGCACAGCGAATCACATTCAAGGTGTGGCAGGAAAGGGACGGAGTTCAAATATCTGGAGAAGAAGATGACAAATGGTTAAGATACAAGGTCAACTTAACGTAGGCTTAACTTCATCTTAGAGAAATGGAGAACACTGGGAGACTTTAAGCAAGGGATAATGTCCTTGAGCCGCAGAAAGAGATGTGACTCGTCCAAGCTATACAACTAGAAACAGAACCAGAAAAGGAACTAAGTTATTTCTAATTCTTAATGAAGTAACTACCAATTACATATTTATCGCGAATCCTACAACTCAAAGCACAAGAGGAGTACAGGTTTCTAACACGCCACTCACTCGGCGGAAATGACCTCAGAGTTTCAACCGGAAACAGAAATTGACCTCGGCGGACGCCTCCTAACGGCTGGCTAGAGCAAAGCTCAACTGGGAGGGCCGCCATGCCGGAAGCGGCCCAGCTGTTTCCGGTGACTACTCCACAGAGCAGAGACTCAGAGGGCGAGTCCTGGAGATCAGACCTATTTACCAGCCGGCGACGCGACGTCGCATGCCCGCTTCGGCGCAGGCGCGGAGCACTGCGCACGTGAACGCGCACGCAAACAACGCGCCCGCGCCCGCCCTTCGTCGCGTCGGCGCTGTTTCGAGGGTAAAGCCTTTTGAGTTGTAACGCAGGATCTTGTTCTCTAAACTACAACTCCCAGCATGCCACGCTCCTCATATTGGCACAAGGATGGCTTACTAGGATAGGGCAAAGAGAAATTTAAGCGACGATGACGTATCAATGGGGAAAAAATTGAATAAGCTGTTTGAGCGCCTTACTTGCAGAAGCCCCAGTGGCCTAATGGATAAGGCATTGGCCTCCTAAGCCAGGGATTGTGGGTTCGAGTCCCATCTGGGGTGGCAGCATTTTTGCCCTCGTAATATTTTCCCCGTATCTAAAACGATTACAGCTAATGCTGACTACTCCGTTTTACTCTTCAAATTGGAAGAGTGTCTACGTGGCTTTACTAGCTGTTGGGTTGAGCTTTGCGAGAGTCAAGATGCTCCATTTGCTTCCTGAGCAAGGCTTTTAGCTGGGAAGTCTGTCAGTAGTGAATTTTAACATCCCTTCAAGAAACTGCTTTTAAAAACTCTCCCCAGCGTGCTCCGTATCGACCCCATGTTCCGGGCCCTATCGTCGCCGGCGGCCGCGCAAGGGCGTCGAAGGCGCGGCGGCGGGTTTCCGCGGAGCGCGTACTGGGACGGCCCACTGTGCACCGCGGGGGGGGAGCGGCAGTGAGGTCGGGCCGTACCATCAAACGCGGGAGGGGCGTGCTGAGAAGCCAAGGGCGCCGCGGGCAGCACGGCGGGGAAAATGGCGACCCTAGGGTCCCCTGCGCGCACACTGCGAGGTCTTTTGCGGGAGTTGCGCTACCTGAACGCGGCCGCCGGGCGACCCTATCGCGACACCGCTGCCTATCGATACCTGGTGAAGGCTTTCCGCGCACATCGGGTATGGAAGCCGCGTCCCGGGATGGAAGAAGAGGCGGGTGTGGGCGGGGATCAGGGGCGCGGGGTCTTCAAGACCCCCGTGTCTGAGGCCGACCCTCCCACCAGCCAGGCCCCCACCACGCTCTCCCGGAACCCGCGGGGCGCTGCGCCCCTCCAGGGGGCGGGGCCGCTCCTGAGCGTGTCATTGGCTGTTGCGGGTCCGTGCGGGTGACCCGACCGACCGCGAGGAACGGAGAGCGGCGCGGTTAAGCCGCGGTCTCCGCCTCTGCTGCGCTGAGAAGCGGGTTGGACACGGAAGGAAACAGTTAAGTGGGAGCCGGCAGGAGGAGGCCCGCGCGTGCATGCGGCGCGGTGACGCGGTCGTGCCGTCAGTTTGACGGTAGCTGCTGCAGGAGCAGCAGACACCTGTACACGTGGGAGCCATCTGGGGAAATGCCTCCGCCAAGTCCACGCCCCGAACCTCTCAGACCAGAGAGTGGAAGAGAGTTTTACTTTCCATGAACAAGTAGCACAAGTGGAACTTAGGTCACCTGGCTCCCGATTAAGTCCCACCCTCAACTGCTGCCTTCGGAATGAAGGATCTGGCTGGGAAAAAAGTCACAACCGATGTCAGAATAGTAATTGGAGATTCCCCTGGGCTTCAGGGAAGCAATGTGGGAAAAGGGAGAAACATCGTCTTAACTGTTGAACTTCTGAGCCATCAGCCATACAATGAAACACTTAGAAGTAATTACTAAGGGTATAGAGAAGTAGGTTAAGGAAGGCTTTCAGGAGGATATTAAGCAGGGACCTTCGGGAAGGTGAGGATCCAGGTAAAGAAACTCATCATTGAAAGCCCAGAGGCAAGAACTGATGGTTGAATATTGGCCAAGCCTGTGGTGGTAGGTGGTAGTCAGAGAATTTAAATTTCATTGTAGGTTTGTATTTTCTCCTGCAATTTACTTTCTAGAGAAACCGTATTAAATCTGTCTTTGGACATATGTATGTAACAGAACCTAACTGACCTTTTTACTTTTCTAGGTCACCAGTGAGAAGTTGTGCAGAGCCCAACATGAGCTTCATTTCCAAGCTGCCACCTATCTCTGCCTCTTGCGCAGCGTTCGGGAACATGTGGCCCTTCATCAGGAATTTCATGGCAAGGGTGAGCGCTCAGTGGAGGAGTCTGCTGGCTTGGTAGGTCTCCACTTGCCCCGCCAGCCTGGTGGAAAGGGCTGGGAGCCATGAATATGGAGCAGTTCCTCAGATGTTACCTTCATTGAGAATTTAATCATTCTGCCAATATGTATTTATCATTAAAATTTTGTTTTTAAAGTTTAGGGTTTTTCTCTTGTAATTTTGTTGACTGGTTAGAGGAATAAACTGGAGATTTCATTTCTGCTGTCAGTGAACTTACCGCATTTCTTACATTAGGCTCATTGATGTTCTTCATTTCCCTTTAAAACTTATTTTTCTTGGGCTGGAGGCATGGCTCAAGTGATAGAGCACTTGCCTAAGTTCAAACCCCAGTATCACCAAAAAAAACCCAAAACACATAATTTTCTTAATTTTGAAAGTAATGGAGACCTATCATTTTAAGAATTCAAATGGTATAAGTGTTAAAGTGTTAAAAACCCGTATTTTCCCCTTTTTTTTTTGCAGTATTGGAGTTTGAACTCAGGGTCTCATGCTTGCTAGGTGGCCACTTATGACTTGAGCCTGGTTATTCTGGAGATGGGATCTTGTGAGCTATTTGTCCTAGCTGCCCTCAAGCCTTGACCTTCCCATTCTCAGCTCCTAAGTAGGTAGAATTGCAGGTGTGAGCCACCAGCACCCAGCTTAAAAGCCTCTGTTTTTCCTTTGCCTCTCCCATTCCCAGATGGTAACCATTACTAACAGGTTGACATGTGTCTTTCCACATACTTCCTATGCATCTGCAAACACAAAATTACAAATACTTATGGTCACACATGTATGTTTTATTAAAAAAACCCAAAAACCCACAAATGTGATGTGTTAGGATCCAGCATGAAGCAGGTGGCACACTCAAGGTTGTTGAGAGTTAAAGGGGCACATAAAGATGAAGGTCAAGCCGGAAATCCGTTAGGGGCTAGCATTAGTGGGGAGCTGTTGCCTCTGTACAGCTGACATGCCTAGACCCTAGGTCAAGGTGCACATCCACAACTCAACCACAGCCCACCTGGGGAAAATCCAGAGAGAGGGATACCATCTTCTACTTCCTCATCTCCTTGTCCAGTACTCTCCTCTTAAACTCTGGGCAAATGGTTCTGCCGCACACTTGGCTAACCAAATCAAGAACGTGTTCTTCATTCCTATTCCTTTCCTTACCACATTTAATCAGCCACCGATTTTTGCTTCTGCAATAGTTGGAATCACTTCTTCTACCTTTCTATCTTCACTGCCTTTGCCCTAATTCAAGCACTGATAATCTTTTGTCTTAACTGTTGAAGTGGTCACTTCACTTCAAATGTTCTTAATTCCTCAAAATTATTCTTTTCTGTGAAATACCAATTCTTTATTCATACTGGTTTATTGGGCAGTGTTTTTTTCTGGCAGAAGAAGCTGGCTGCAATCTCCTTAAGACTTAAGGACCAGATGGGGATGCCAATGGCTCACATCTACTATCTAGCTACTTAGGAGGCTGAGGTCAGGAGAATCTCCATTCCAGGCCAACTTGGGCAAATAGTTCAGGAGACCCTATCTCCATAATAACCAGAGAAAAATGGACTGGAAGTGTTGCTCAAGTGGTAGAAGACCTCCTTTGCAAGCATGAAGCTCTAAGTTCAAACCCTAGTCTCACCAAAAAAAAAAAAAAAAAAAAGACTAAAAACTATGTTTCATTCACCTTTGTCTCTCCAAAGCACTTTCTATCACATAGCACATGTTGAATCAGTGTTTTTGAATGTCTGGCTCAGTGCCACTCACTTGGAGTGCAAGCTGAACAATAGAACTGCATAAAGCATCTTGAAGCACTCTTCTAAGAAATTAATATTAAAGTAATGGTTTTAAGAGGATAAGCATTTATTCAATTGAATGGATCAAAGAAATATTTCACACTTTTTTTTTTGACCCTGCTTTATTCCACCAGCATAGGTTTGTCATTATCTGAAAATATTTCACTTTGACTGAGTGAAGAGAAGCTGGGCAAGGTGGTACATACCTATAATCCAAGCACTTGGGAGGCTTGGACTATTATCAGTTCCAGGACAGTATGGGCCACATAGCAAGACTGTCTAATGGCTCAAGTGGTGCAGTGCCTGCCTAGCAAGCATGAGGGTGTGAGTTCAAATCCCAGTAACACACACACACACACAAAGACCCCTGCCTCAGAAAACAAATAATCAGGGTGCTGGTGGCTCACACCAGTAATCCTAGCTACTCAGGAGGCAGAGATTAGGAAGATTGCAGTTTGAAGCCAGTCTGGCTTCAAGTAGTTCTTGAGACCCTATCTCAAAAAAACATCACAAAAAAGGGCTGGTGAAGTGGCTCCAGTCCTGCAAAACAAACAAACCAACCAAAAAATAAAGACAGCAAAGGACTAGGATAAGGCTGGCAGAATGGCTCAAGTGCTAGAATGCCTGCCTAGAAAGTGTGAGGCCCTGAGTTCAAACCCCAATATTGCCAAAAACCCCAAAACAAAAAAGGACTAAGGTTGATGTTTTGTTTTCCCTTATTGTTATAATGTATATACAGTAAGTTTTATGTTTAAAGAAAGATCTGAGGCAGAATTTTCTAATGTTAAGGAATATTTACTGTGGATTTGAAATCGTAGATATAAGTTTTACTGTCACCTTTATAATTTATCAGCTATATAGTCTTGGGTAGGTTAGTTGACAGGATCTTCTTCAAGGTGGTTGTAATAAATGAGCATAAGGTTTATAGAAAATATCTGTATAGTGCATGAGTACCTGACAAAAAGAGAACCTTACTTTCAGCTTTCTGCTTTATTCTCATCATGAGCTGTACTGCCATCAGTTTTCAGGGGCACAAATTATGTGTTATGGCTTAAGTAATTTGCTCAGGGCATTTATGCCCCAAACAGTATAATCAACCTATACTTCCCATTAATAGCCTCACCGTTAAGAATCAGCTGAGTGCTCGTTTCAGCAGCACATATACTAAAATTGGAATGATACAGAGAAGATTAATATGGCCCCTGTGCAAGGATGACATGTAAATTCATGAAGTGGCCCATATTTTTCTAATAAAAAGGAAAAAGAAAACTTAAAAAAAAAAATCAGCTGATATTGGAGCTAGGGGTGTGCCTCAAGTGGTAGAAAGCTTGCCTAGCAAGTGTGAGGCCCTAGGTTCAAACCTCGCTACTGCCAAGAAACAAAAACAAAACAAAAAAGATGCTAAACTCAAATGTTAGAAAGAACTGGGGGTTGAGGAGGGGAGTAAGAAAGAGTAACAGGAGGTGAATTTGATGAAAGTACATTATATGCATGTAAGGAAATAGCACAATGAAACCCCTTTGTACAATTAATATTAAAAAAAAAGGATTTTGGAACAGTCTATATTAGCAATAAACTTTCTACACTGAAAACATCCCAGAACTAGGGAACCTCCAGTACTAAAAAGAAACAAAACCCTTTCCCCATACCTGTTCCCAGATGAGTTTGGCTTGATTTTTTTTTTCTCTTATTATATTCGTATTTGCATACAATGTTTGGGTCATTTCTCCCCCCTTCCCCCCCCTCCCCTTTACCCCCCCAACCCCTCGCTACCAGGCAGAAACTATTTTGCCCTCTTCTCTAGTTTTGTTGAAGAGAGACTATAAGCAATAATAGAAGGACCAAGGGTTTTTGCTAGTTGAGATAAGGATAGCTATACAGGGAGTTGACTCGCATTGCTTTCTTGTAAATGTGTGTTACCGTCTAAGTTAATTCTTCTCGAACTAACCTTTTCTCTAGTTCCTGTTCCCTGTTCCCCTTCTCCTATTGGCCTCAGTTGCTTTAAACTATCTGCTTTAGTTTCTCTGCGTTGAGGGCAACAAATGCTATCTAGTTTTTTGGGTGTCTTACCTATCCTCATACCTTCCTTTTGTGTTCTCTCTTCATCATGTGACCAAAGTCCAATCCCCTTGTTGTGTTTACCCTTGATCTAATGTCCGCATATGAGGGGGAACATACGATTTTTGGTCTTTTGGGTCAGGCTAACTTCACTCAGAATGATGTTCTCCAGTTCCATCCATTTACCTGCGAATGGTAACATTTCATTCTTCTTCATGGCTGCATAAAATTCCATTGTGTTTAGATACCACATTTTCTTAATCCATTCATCAGTAGTGGGGCATCTTGGCTGTTTCCATAACTTGGCTATTGTGAATAGCGCTGCAATAAACATGGGTGTGCAGGTGCCTCTGGAGTAACTTGTGTCACATTCTTTTGGGTATATCCCCAAGAGTGGTATTGCTGGATCAAAAGGTAGATCAATGTTTAGCTTTTTAAGTAGCCTCCAAATTTTTTTCCAGAGTGGTTGTACTAGTTTACATTCCCACCAGCAGTGTAAGAGGGTTGTTTTCCCCCCATCCTTGCCAGCACCTGATGTTAGTGGTGTTGCTAATGATGGCTATTCTAACAGGGGTGAGGTGGAATCTTAGTGTGGTTTTAATTTGCATTTCCTTTATTGCTAGAGATGGTGAGCATTTTTTCATGTGTTTTTTGGCCATTTGAATTTCTTTTTTTGAGAAAGTTCTGTTTAGTTCACTTGCCCATTTCTTTATTGGTTCATTAATTTTGGGAGAATTTAGTTTTTTGAGTTCGCTATATATTCTGGTTATCAGTCCTTTGTCTGATGTGTAGCTGGCAAATGTTTTCTCCCACTCTGTGGGTGTTCTCTTCAGTTTAGAGACCATTTCTTTTGTTGAGGGGAAGCTTTTTAGTTTTATGAAGTCCCATTTATCTATGCTATCTCTCAGTTGCTGAGCTGCTAGGGTTCCATTGAGAAAGTTCTTGCCTATACCTATTAATTCCAAGGTATTTCCTACTCTTTCCTGTACCAACTTTAGAGTTTGGGGTCTGATCCATTTTGAGTTAATCTTGGTATAGGGTGATATACATGGATCTAGTTTCAGTTTTTTGCAGACTGCTAACCAGTTTTCCCAGCAGTTTTTGTTGAAGAAGCTGTCTTTTCTCCATCATATATTTTTAGCGCCTTTGTCAAAGATAAGTTGGTTATAGTTGTGTGGCTTCATATCTGGGTCCTCTATTCTGTTCCACTGGTCTTCATGTCTGTTTTTGTGCCAGTACCACGCTGTTTTTATTGTTATTGCTTTGTAATATAGTTTGAAGTCAGGTATTGTGATACCTCCAGCATTGTTCTTTTGACTGAGTATTGCCTTGGCTATTCGTGGCCTCTTGTGTTTCCATATAAATTTAACAGTAGATTTTTCAATCTCTTTGATGAATGTCATTGGGATTTTGATGGGAATTGCATTAAACATGTAGATTACTTTTGGGAGTATTGACATTTTTACTATGTTGATTCTACCAATCCATGAACATGGGAGATCTCTCCACTTTCTATAGTCTTCCTCAATCTCTTCCTTCAGAAGTTTATAGTTTTCCTTGTAGAAGTCGTTCACATCCTTTGTTAAAAGCTTACACCTAGGTATTTGATTTTTTTTAATCCAAGTTTGGTCGTATAGTACAGTATGGCACACACTCTTTAGTCTGCCTCTTTTGCTTCACATACTGATTGTGAGTTTAATAGTCTAAGTTGTGGGTATTCAACCTGTTGCAGTATGGCTTCTGCCCTTCCATTCCACCAAAACTGCCTCACAGGGATACAAACGACTTTTAGCCCCAGTGGATCCTGTTCATTCCCCATCTTGTTCTCAGGAGCATTCGACACTATCGACCATTCCCTCTTTCCTTGACTTTGATGCTACTGAATTGTTTTGTATTCTTCTCACTAGCCATTTGTTTTCAGCTTTGTGTGTCCTTCATCTGGCAGTGTATCTCAGAGTTCAGGCTGAGGTCCTTCCCTCACAGTGTACATGCTTTCCCCTGGGTGAAGATGCTCATTTCCAAGGTTTCAATTTTCATCAACATGCTGAGAATTTCATCTCAGGCCCCTGTCAAAGTATATACCTGTATTTCCCTCTGCCTAGTAGAGGACACCACTTAGATAACACAAAGGCATCTCAAATTCAGTGCATCTAAAATGGAACCCCATCATCTTCCCCTACAAATCTTTCTGTTGTTATCAGTTCCATGACACTTTTACACACTTGAGCCAGAAATCTGAGTTATTCTTGACTGCTTCAGTTAACCAATCACTAAATTACACCCATCTCCTAAAAAACCTCTTGAAACTCTATTGCTACTATCCTAGTCAAGACCTCTTATCTCTTACATTACTTCCCTGAACCACTGCTGTCCATAATTAGTCTCTTTTAACTCCAATCGTGTGCTTTTTTTACCCGCTTCTAGACCAGGTCTATGTGGCCCAGTCTTGCCTTGAACTCAGGATCCTCTTTAATCCTTAAAGATTAACTTTGTTCTCTTCAATCAATTTTCTACTATGCACTTATTCAATAATGTCACTCTTCTACTGACATGCCTTCAAAGTAAAGCTTTTTAACAATGTCATCCAGGATTTGGTTCTGGCAAACCTCTCTGATCTTACCTCTACTTTCTTCTTGTATTTGACAGGCCAGCCATACAGAAACTCAGTTCTTAGGAGCTGTGGTCTTTTAAAAAAATTTTTTTTCTTTATTCATTTATTCATATGTGCCATACATTGTTTGGGCCATTTCTCCCCCGACCCCACCCCTTCCCTCTTCCCCCCACCCCCTTGCTTCCAGGCAGAACCTGTTCTGCCCTTTTTTCCAGTTTTGTTGAAGAGAAGACAAAAGCAATAATAAGAAAGACTAGCGTTTTTGCTAGTTGAGATAAGGACAGCTATACAGAGAGATTCCTACCATTGCTTCCATGCACAGTGTATTATAACCTAAATTGACTCATCTCTGCTTGACCTCTTCACTAGTTCCTGGTCACCTCCCCATATTGACCTCTGTTGTTTTAAGGTTACTGTATTAGCTCCTCTGCAGTGGGGACATCAAACACTTCCAAGTTTTGGGTTTCCTACCTATTCCCATTCCTCCCGTATGTACTCTCCCCTTAGCGTGTGACCCAAGTCCAACAACATTGCTGCATTTATCCTAGATCTAAAGTCCGCATATGAGGGAGAACATATGATTTTTGGTCTTCTGAGCCTGTATAACTTTGTCTTTTGTTTTGTTTTTGAGACAAGGTGTCATTATATAGCTCAGGCTGGAGCTGAACTCATGATCTTCTGCTTCAGCCTCCCAAGTACTGGGAGGATTACAGGTGTGTACCACCATACCCATCACTAGCCACAGTCTTTATTTCAACATTTTACAATTCTTTATACAAGAAAAGTATTTCCTAAATCCACCCTACTTTCCTCACTAATTCCTCTTCATTCTTTAAGATGTCAGGTTAAATTTCACTTTTTCTTCCTCCAGTGGCAGTTTAGCTTTTTCTGTTTATCATCTCCATAAGCTTCAGATATTAAGGCATTTATTTTCACTAGAACTGAGGATATTTCTGGCTCTAAAGTATTGAGTCATTACTTTTTTTCTGTCTTTTGTATTGGTGTTAGGGAGACAAATATCAACAATGTATGAACCAGGTGTTCACATTCTACAGCTATGCAAAGGGAAAAGACTTGTGCTCAGACTCACATGCTAATCTAAGGAAGGCTGCTGATCTGCTTCTAAAGTGAGTTTTTAATTCACCTACAAGTTGAATTTTTATAGCATTTTAATTTTTGAATCTATACTTAACAGGGACTATGTTTATAAAATTTGATTATAGGTATGTACTGTGCCCCAAGAATAGTTACAATACTAAATTTTATTATGTACTTATTAATAAGTGACATCTATTTTAAACCAGAACCCTTAAGTTCACTCTCAATGTTAATTGGAAATAACTTTCTGCCAGGTTTTAGCCAAAAGTTTTGTTTTGTTTTGCAGTACAGGAGTTTGAACTCAGGGCCTCAAGCTCACTAGGCAAGCACTCTACCACTTGAGCCCTGCCCCAGCCTTCAGCCCAAAGTTTTTACTTTGGTGGCCAAGAAAAACTTGAGGCCTTTATTTTCCCCTCTAGACAGGGTCTAACTATGTAGCCCAGACTGGCCTTGAACTCATGATTTTCCAGCCTCAGCAACCCAGATAGGACATATTTTAGTCTTACAGGCCATATAGTATCATATCTCACAACCACACAACTCTGCTGTTGAAGTGCAAAAGCAACTATAGATAATATGTAAATGAATGAGCCTGGCAGTAGGCCTAAAGAAAAACTTCAAACAAAAGAAAATGATCCCAGATGGAAAGGCAGTGCTTTCAGAAGAAAGAGTAGGTGGTGAATAGATGAACACTGATTATATGAAATAGAACACCTGGTATTGAGCTGTGACTAAAGCTCCATTGTAGAGGGGGTACTCAGCATGCCCAAGACCTTCAATTAAATTTGTCCCCCCCACCATAAAAAAAAAAGATGGGTAACAAGAGCATGTAACTTGTGAAGGGGATACAGTTAAGTGTTCAGCTTCCATCTCTCTGATGTGTAAAGACATTAAGTACGTGATACAACTTCTAGGATAACCATTAAGAAAATCTCCAAATCAGAAAGGAAGAAAGTGGAATTAAAAAGTAGAAAAAAACAGAAAAAAATTAAACATAAAGCAGGTGAAACTAAGAGAAAAATAAGGTTTAAACCCGAACATGTCAGTAATTACGTGAATATGAATGATTAAATGCTTCAATTAAGACCGTGGTAGCTAAGCATGGTGCATGCCTGTAATCCCAGCACAGGGGAGGCTGAGGCAGGAGGATCATGAGATTGATGCCAGCCTGGACTATATGGGGAGATCCTATCTCAAGAATAAAGCAAAACAAAACAAAATATCCAGGGGAGAGGGGGAAGAACAGAAGACGGTGGATGTAGCTCAGTGGCAGTGATTGCCTAGCATGAAGACCTTGCGTTGTATCCCTAGCGCCGCAAAAAATAAAAAGATAAAACCTGAGGATAATATATGGTATATATAGTCGTGCATCTGACATTTTTCTACTACTGTCAGTTCTCAAATTATAATATCCCCTCGTTATACAGATTTTTGAGTTCTCTCAGTAACTGAAGGGAAACTTTTGTCACTTGCTAAAGATAACATGAGTACAATTTTTACTGCCTCACTATGCATTTAAAGACATCTTGGAACTATGATTGCTATTTTATATTGTTTATTCTTTATGGATTGTAAATCCCAAGGCGATGCATATACAATTATAACTAAACAAAAAATTCTTCCGTTATTTGTCTTCAAAGCGTCATGAAAGTGCCCACGTCTCTTCTGTAAGGCAGCAGGCAAGGGCTCTGGCCTGGGTGTCGCCCGTTAGCTCCCCCTGCCCTTCCCAGAGATGAAGGTTTTAGGGTTACCTCCGCCAGCCTTGGGGTTTAGCCCCAGTGAGGGGAGTGGCGGTAGCCGGGGCATTTCCCGCGACCTGCCGCCCACGCGCTGCTCTGGGAACGAATGCAGATGGGGACTAACAGCTTCCCGCCGTCCCAGTAGGTAACCAAGAACCACCATGGGTTAGGCCTGCTTTCTACTGTGCTCATCTCAGGTGTCACTGCCTGCACTTGACACATCCCAGGTCGGGCACAGATGCGGGAGTGGCCCGGCGTCCGCAGCCCTGGGTCCCGTGCAGAGCCAGGCAGCAGGATGGAAAAGGCTGCGAGTCCTCGGATCCGGCTGCGCCCAGAAACAAGTTTGCTGGTCAGCGCGGATAATACGCGCACGCCAGCTCCATCGGCACTGGGCTCTACTTACTTCGACTCGGGCTAACCTCAGGCATTCTGCTAATTAGGGTCTGGCCTGCCGTCACAGCAACGCCGCGTGGCCTCGGCCACCCAGCAGCCGTGAGCGTGGGGTTTAGTGCTTCGGGGCAGTTCCGGCTCGAGAGTTGGTGAAAGACTTAGGTTCTCGCGAGATCTGGGAGGGAGCAGCGCGCGTGCACGCGCCCGAGAGCCGTTAGGGTGGAACCCCCTCCTGGGCGGGGCGGGCGGAGCGAAGACAGTTGGACGCCCGTTGGTGGAGTCCCGCGGGAAACGACTCAGCGCGACCAGCGTGCGCGCCCCCGTCGCGGCGACGGTGGCGGCGAGCGGCGTCAGAGCTTGGAGGGGGGGGCTGACGGCTTCTGGCGGGTGGCAGTGTTGGAGGAAAGAGCTTGCTTTGCTCGTGTCGCTTCTGTCCCAGGAACCAGACGGAGAGTGAGGGCACGAGGGTCGCTTTCACGGGGCTGCTATCTTCCACGTACACGTCGTCGTGAGGAGCGCAGCCCGGACTCTCCCGCGAGCCCTCCGGCTCCCCTTCAGCACGCCTCGAGGCGGCGGCGGCCACCGAGACCGCATCGCACCTCCCCCCACCCCTTCCCCTCACTCCCCCGCCCGAAAGGGCCCGGTCTGCGCCCCACCCCCGCCCGTCCGCCCGCTACGCCGCCGCCATGTCGGCGCAGGCCCAGATGCGCGCGATGCTGGACCAGTTGATGGGCACCTCCCGGGACGGTAAGTCTCTGCCAGAGCCCTGGGGGTGGGGGAGGGGATGGGGCCAGCGACGGAAGGGGTCTGAGGGCGCACCGGGGCGCGCGCGTTTGGCTGAGTAAGGGGCTCCCAGATTGGTAACACAAGGTTCCCCCCTCCCGTCCCATCCAATCAGAGCGTGGCAGGAGGGTGTGGGGGCGGTGACCGTGCGGATTGGCGGGAATTGCTGCCAGTGGATTGAGGCGGGGCCTGGGAGCAGAAAGGAGTTTGTGCTTTTAATGTTGACTTGGCGGGGATGGGAGAGCCCACGTCTCTTGCGTAGTCGGGCGGTCCGTTTTGCAGCAGATTAGTTACCTGCAGACTGCTAAAGCCTCCGCCCCCTGTTCTAGTTCCTTAACTCAGACTTTTGGGATCATCTTTTGCGGCCGTCCTCCAGAATATCCAGAGAGAAGCACCCCCCCACTCCCCGGGTCTGGAGGAAACCCTTACTGCCATCCCGGTCCCAGAGATGCTCCATCGAGCCTCACAGTCAACCATTTTTGTGGAAAATCTGACCCAAACCATGGTTTCTTAAAATGGGTGTGTTTGGCCCCATTTTGTGAAAAAAAAAAATGTTAACGGCCTGTTTTTCCGAGAGACCTCCATTTTGTTAGACAATTTAATAGAGGCTTTGTTCGGTAAATAATGACAAACCTTGCATGTGCCCCAAACAGAACCATTTTGGGAATTTGGTGCCCAGTGAAGTAGAATTGAGGGAAACAAAGGACTTTTTAGGCACTTAGGTTAGAATCTGTATGGGAAGCCTCTACGTGCTGGATTATCCTTGGTCATAAAGAGTTTCTAAAAGTGATAAAATGGTGTTGCTTTTCTGGTGGTGATGATTAGTAATGTACTCTCAAATTTAAATCAATGCCAGCGTGGAGGGAAGGTCTAGTTCAGTACCTTCTTTTAAAAACAAAGCAAAATTCTTGATTTTCTGTGTTGCTTGTAAAGGCAAATAGTTTTTTCCTCGACAAGTTATTTAAAATTGCTTGACATGAGAAAAAACAATTTTAAATTTACGTTATTGCAGCTGCACTTGAAGTGTTTTTCAGCAAAATAAGTCAGTAGATAAAAACCTGTTTCAATCACCTTTTAGTAACATATTTATAATGGTATTTCAGTATCAATGGTTCATTTTTAACAAAAATCCTCTTTGCGAACTTTTCATAGATCATGTAGACAAATATGTGTAGATGGCAAACCTATTTGTCATTGTGTAGAGAGGAGGGAAAGACTTGGAAGACAATGAGTTTTATTTTTGTAGTAAGCCCTTGAAAGTTAACATTAATTAAAAATGCTACTGGATGGCTGGGGATGTAGATCAGTGGTAGAGTGCTTGCCTACCATGCCCAAGGCCCTGGATTTGAGACCCAGCACCACACACACACACACACAAATGTTACTACAGAAACACTTTACTGTTTTCATTTTCACATTTAGATAAGGATGGTTACTTAATAACTGCTGCATGTCTTAATATTGCTCCCTTTCCATCAAGAAAGAGGGTATTGGGAAGGACCTTCATCCAGGATCTTAACTAACAATGGTCAATCTTTGCAATACTTACAGAAATCATGTAAGGTTGATTTTATATACTTTTAATCCTTGATGAATAACATTTTTGGTATCTTCTGCATAGATTGGATTTCCTTGTATTACTAGGAGGGTAGTCGATCAGTGTGGCTACTGTCACTAGATACCTGAACTAGGCAGCCCCTTTAATAACCAAAACTAAACATATATATATATTATGTATATATAATCTATGTGTGTAGTCCCAGCAGAAAGCTGGATTTCTTAAAATCCATTCTGCTTTGTATAGAAGTTGATATTTTTTATGTCTCCATCATTATCATTGGATTTTTTTTTTTTTTTTGCCTCTAGACTTAGAAGATTTATGAATGAATTTATGAGTCCATCGTAGCATTTAGCTGAAATGGTTGGATTCTCACTGTCGTATTGGTTCATAAGAAGCATACCACTTTTGAGGAAAAGAATTGAATTTTTTTTAAGATACCCAAATTAGTTCTTTTATATATATGATAGAATCAGAAAATTCTTTTCCTTCTTACCAGATAGTTAATGAATTTACACATTTGGTTTTATAATTCCGAACCTTGAAATAATTAGGATTATTCTTTTGTAGAATTCAGTCAACTTCAAGTTATCCAGAGATAGGGGAACATGGCTACACCACTGAATAACGCCATGTAATTTGAAACCATACAATGGGAAGCCTTGTGTTGGAACACATGAACAGCTTACGGGGAGTGCTGTTGGGTGTCTTTGGCACTAAGAGGTGGATGGGAGGTGGGAAGAGATGGAAAAGGTAGGTAGGGGAGGGTATTTAAGGAAGCTCTGTTTCTTGTTTTTGGTTTTTTGAAATCCCAGAGACTAAAGCAACCACTCTTTTCAGTGGGGGGGCTCAAGGTGGTCATGGTCCCCTCATTCTTTAGTGTCCTATTTCTAAAAGAATCCCTCTGAAGTGGTACAGGAGTCTTGGGGCTCTGAGAACGTGTTGCTCCCCCTTCTGAAAGATTTCTTCCCCTTTCCAACAATTGCTAATTCCTTTTTTAAATTCTTTGAAAATTTAAGTCCATTAGTTAAATGTACTTATCTTGAACTAATTAAGTCAGCTAATCATTTAGATTAGCTAGCTGGAGGTGTGGCTCAAACTGTAGAGTGCTTGCCTAGCAAGCACAGGACACTCAGTTGAAATTGAAGTCTGGTAAAACAAAAGATTACCTAAACTTTAGTGGAAACCTCAGGAATAGGAATTGCTGTGGCAGGGAAATGGAGAGGTAGTTTTTGGATCATGGGACACTTCAAGAAAGGACAGTTCTGGGTGAATGATAAAAGTGGGGGGGGGGGCTTTGGACAATCAAGGCAGCATGTTGGTGCTGGGAGGCTGGGCAGGGGGTTTACCAGGAGGTGGGAGAGGAATGCATAAGGGAGATGGGAGGGCCAAAGACAAACTTTGCCTTCTTTGCAATTTTGCCTAGGGCCCTGGTGGTGGCAACCGCCTGTGTGCCACTGAAAATCGTGCCGATGCCTGGCATACTGCATAAATGGAAGCAGGGTACCGCGTGAGTTGAAACATTGGTCACACTATATAAAGTTTGTACACGTGAATCAGTGTCACTCATACCCATGTAACTGGGGGTCTGACTGGATTTGGATTTTTCTGATAAGGCATCATGGGCTAAGGAAAAGAGCACTGGGCTGAGATTCAGGAGACCTGGTCTCTAATTATTACCTTGGGTAAGTCACATAACCTTTTTTGCCTCAAGTTAAATCTATAATTTGTTAATACGGGAATCCACATAATTTTCCTATGTTATACTCATAAACTGTTGAAAAGTAAATATGGAGTTTTTGTTTTTTGTTTTTTTTAGGAGGGAGGAACCATAAGTAGATATTAATTATTAGTATTTCATCTCAAGTTTAAGACTCATTATGTTTTGTAAGTACCTCTCTGTTTGTTTTCCCTGAACGTCTTCCATTTGATAACAGGAAGGAGCCACACAGGAAAATTCAAGAAACATTTTGAGAATTGCCTGTGTGACAGTTGGAGAAACCCATACAGACGGTGGTCGTTTTGACTAGGTTGGATTAATGGCAAGAATGTCCATTAACAAAAGTCCTTTTGCTAACAGCATTATGGTTGCTAGGATAAATTTGTTCCTGATTATAGAAGGGTGCGAGGGATAAGAATTAAAATTGAGGGTATTTTTTTTTATTGCCATGCTAAGGATCAAACTCAGGGCCTTGCACATGCTACACAAGCTCTGTACCACTAAACTACACCCCTAGCTGTAGGGTATGTATTTAGATTACTTCCTGAATTTAGAAAACAGGAAAGTAACAGGAAGTTGTTCTGAGGGATCCATACTTCTTAATTGTTTCAAGTAGGAGTGGAGATCATCTCTGAGGATTAAATCATGCCAGGAATGACTGTGCACTCACAATTAACCTGTAGATTAAGAATATAGAGGTTAGGAATTGTTGTGGACAAGTTAAAGCTGTTAGATAATTTTGACCATTTTGGTAGCAATCTTATAAAACCGTATGATATACTTTTTTGGCTAATAAAGAATGTCAGTCTTAATAGTCCTGATTACTTACATGATTATGCAATAAAAAATTGAAAGAATACTCATCTTAGTAGATACCTAGGAAAATGCAATTCAGAAAGCAGTTTGCCTGTTCTTAATGTAAGTTTAATGATACCTAACTTTAAAATCTGTAGGTCAATATAGCATTGCTGCCTTTCTGCAGAATAATTGAATTAAAGATTGAAGTAGTATTTTTTTAGAGGATTTTCTTCTTTATAAAATCATTTTTATTGTAATCTGTGTTCCTTGACTTTTCTCTTAATACATTTTCTCTTAATTTTCATTAACATAATGGACCACATTTATTTCTTGGTCAGTTGTAAGCCATTGTTTTATTCTATTTGGATCATTCATTTTAAGTGAAGGAGGCGTAGCCTTTAATGTATAAGCACACATTTTACATATGGTAATGGGGGATATATTTTAGTCTGGAGCTTGTAAACTCTTTAACATAAGAAACTTTAGCAAATCTAAGGCTGAAGAGTTTCTCTGAGTTTCAGTAGCTATTTAACTTTGTCATCATTCCAGGCATATCCAAAGCATCAAAAGCTTTATTAGCACTTGCATAATTTATCAGTTAAATTTTTTCCCCACATTTTGCATTTTAGACTCTTGAGTATTTCTGTCTACACAGCAGCAAGAAAACAATAATGATAACCTCACTTCATAGAACCCCTGTTGTCTTTGGATTCTCTATAGTTGTTTAGCACTCCTCAAGTAAGCCTATGTTTCTGAGACATTTCAGGTAAAAAAATACATTGAAGACAAAGAATATTTATGTTGTGTGACTGTATAAGCTCTGTAAGTGGCAAGTAAATATTTAGTTGAGGTAGAATGTGTTATTGTAGAACATTAAGGATAAAGGGTAGTGAGTTGCATGTTCAAGATGGGGAATTCAAAGAAAAGAGGTGTCATAGGGCACGTTCACGTTTAGTGAGTCAGTGTTTAGTAACACAGTGTTTCATGTGTGCAATGAAGCTTGAAATTGTTGGAGGTTCAGATAAGCAGTGGGACTGAAGATAATCAGATAGCTTAACACTGAATGCCAGTAAGTGTGGACAAGACTAGATGAGTGAGATAGATGCTCCTTAATGATTCCAAAGCTGGGCATGGTGGTGCCTACTTGTAATCCACTCAACTTGGGTTACTTAGCCAGCCTGAGCTACAAAGTGAGACCATCTCAAAAACAAAAACCAAACTCCAAAACCAACAAAAAAAGAATGGTATTCCAGAAGGTGCCTGAATTCTTATAGCTAGGTGCTGTTAGTATAGCTTTTGCAAAAACAAACAGTTGTACTTGCCTTAACAATCTTTTGTTATGTCTTCTGAATATGGTAAATTATTTTGTTTTTATTTTCTTGAGACCTCAGATTTCTGCAGGCCTCAGTTTTCTTTTAGTGTTAAACTTCAAAAGTTTGCTTTTTGTTAGAAGAGGCTGGATGTTTATTGTATAACATGTACACTATACCTAGTTCTGTGCTTTACTCTGTCCTATTAGTTTACATGTTAAACTCTTTTAATTTGCTTGAGAGGTAGTTGTAGATAAAAGGCTAGTTCTATGGCTGCTTGCTTTTTGTAAATAAATTTTACTGGAACACAGTCATGTCCATTCATATACATGTTACCCACTACTGCTTTGCCTTGTAGATAGCATCAGAGTTGAATAGTTGCAGTAGACTCATATGGATGCAGGAAAACCTGAAATACTTAAGAGTATCTGGTCCTTTTAAAAAAGCTTGTTGATTACTATTCTAGGCCAATGGTGTCTCCATACTAGTAATCTCAGCATTATCTAAAATGTCATTAGAAATGCGAATTCTTAGACTCACAGACTGAATCAGAAGTTCTGGGAGTGGAGACCACCAGTTTTTTTTAAGAAACGTTCCAAAAGCATGAGGCCTTGAGTTCAACCCTAGTACCACTACTTCCCAAAAAAAAGCCTTCCAAGAGATTCTGATGTACATTAAAAGTTAAAGAAACTTGTTCTAGACATGTTTCCTACCCTTACTATTTTTTTTTATCATTTTCTATTTAATATTTTTGTCAGCTAACTAAAATTTTAAGTTAATTTTAAAATATAGTTAATATCTCCATATAAATAAATACAGTGAAAAAAAATAGTGTGTTATAAAGAGATAGCCAGACCCTATTGTCACTTAGCATTCCATATGCCAAAAGTTAGATATTACTGCCACATGGAGACTTCTTTCTTGATTTAATGTTGATAAATAAATTTGTTACTAAGTGAGTGGTATTTAAAATGTCTTGATTAAATCATATGACGCCCCAAATCATTTTTTTGTACAAATCCCCTACTTTGGAAAATACTGTCCCAGGTCTTCCATGTAAGAGGAAAGCTGCTTGAACTGTATATACCCAAGCCTATAAGTGGAAATGATGGCCAAAAATACAAACCTGTGAGATGAAGAGAACTAGGAGATCCTTACAGAGGGCTTTTTAGACCAGGAGGCTGATATTTCCTCACGTAGCTTGATTTCTCACTTCCTCTGAGTGTGTTGCTCCATCGGGGTGCTTTAGGATTTGATCAACTGGTTCCACAATGGGAATGTGAAAAGAACCTTGGAATGGAAACTGGAGTGTGCGATTCTGCATTGGGGAACAGCAGGGCATGCTTGCTTGGAGAGAGTTGACTCGTTCACCTCAGTCTAGAAACCATGGGTCAGTATTATGAGAAATTCCTGTATATTAATTTACCTCAGGGTATGGGAGAGAATATACCCCCACAATGGTGTTCTGTACGTTTATTGGTTGATATGCTTTAGGGTATAGTAATTATTGATAACAATAGAGTCTTAACTCCTTTCCTTAGTATACTTAGATCGTTGAGTTCTTTTAGTCATTCCTTTCTTTTTCTTAGACAATATGAATGTATTTGCTTCTGTCCTGTTTTGACTTTGTAATAAAATAATCCTAAGAGAGAACAAAAATCTAAAGGGGAGTGGGGACTTACACATAAACAGTTATGTTTATTTTAAAATGATAACACTCTGTGAGACTGGTTATAGACATCTGATTTTGGAAAAAATATTTAAAAAGTACAAGGGACAGTCAAACATCCAACATCTATATGAGTAAACAAATCTTGAATATTTCTGCTAAATTTCAAAAAGCGACTAAAGCATTACAAATCAAGTCCCTATGTTCTCCTTCATAGTCTAAATCCTTCCCCAGAGGCAGCCCTTGTGAATGTGACACGGTATTTCTGCTACATTGTTTTTGGTAGTTTTAAAGCTTACGTCTCCTTCATGTAATTGCTTTTTCATTTTTAACTTCCTTTATCATTAGATTGTCTGTCACCTGTGTCTTTTTGGAATTCACATTTCTTTTTTCCTTGTTCTTTTTTGGTTTTAGATTTGGGGAGACTTTCCTTGACTTTCATAGCTACCACCAACTGATGAGAACTTGTCTTTTTTAATTGATAAGTCAGTCAACCACTTTCTCCTTTTTTTTTTTTTTTTTTTTAATGGTAGTTAGGTATCTGGTTATTTTCAGCCATTTTTTTTCATAGTCAGAGATAGCTTTTAAGCCAGGTGTGGTGGGAGGTGGAGGCTGGAGGTTGGAGAGTTGCAGTCCGTCCTGAGCTACATAGTGAGACCCTGTCTCTAAAGTAAGTAAAGAAATAGAAAACTTTTATTACTTCTGATTTTGTGCATAGAAAAAAATTCTGGATGGTTGAAGATACCAGATAAACCAGAGTGCAAGTGTTACTGTGTCAGAATTTGCGGTTTTGCAAATGTTAAAATACGAAATGTAGCAGGTTGCAACTTTTTATTACATGTATCTTAAATTCTGTGTAATCTTTTATACCTTGATTTTTAAGTAGCTTTTCTAATGCCTCTCTTAAATCTAAGAAGTGTGTGACATTTCCTGAAGCAGTTTTTCCCAGAAATATTATGACATTGATCCCTGCCAACTACCAGGACTCAAAAAGATAGGTCTGGGGTAAAGGATGAGACAGAGCTTTGGAACCTGGATACTAACCTGTGCTGGTATCTCTGTTCTACATGTCCATTAGCACTGTTCTCTTAACTCTGAGACTGTCAGCTTTTCCTGCTGCCTGCACTGTCCTGGCCTCGGTTTTTATAATTCCGTTAGGGATTTTTATATACAAGTGAGCTAGGTTTT